ACCGTTTAAGCTGGGTTATTTTTTTAAACCATAAATGGGAGAAAACAATAACTATAACAATAAATGCAACATTTTAAAAATGCTTTTCAAATGGTAATGATCAACACACACACACACACACACAAATATATAATTATTGATATATATATATATGAGTCCTGCAGGCTGGGCTTTGCAGAGCTTGGGGGGCATAAAAAAATCCTCCCCCAAATAATCTTTATTTGAGGATGAGGCTAGACTGTTATGAATAGTGTATTTATGAAGTTAGATATTTGTATGTAGTAGAGGCTGTGATAGGTTAATGTATCTACTAAGCCCTTTCTTCTTTTTTAAGTAAAATGGTTTGGTGGAGTGGACATTTTGTAATAAAAGATGCCAACTACTGTACACTCATTGACATAATTTCTGATTCATAGTAGGAGTAGTAGGAAGGGTATGGCATGGCATGTCAATTCTGTCTGGACCTCAGATGTCCAGGGAGTCTTTTCTCATGAGATGGCGAAAGTATTGGAGCCTCAGCTTCAGGATCTGTGCTTCCAGTGAGCACTCGGGGTTGATTTCCTTCAGAATGGATAGGTTTGTTCTTCTTGCAGTCCAGGGGACTCTCAAGAGTCTCCTCCAGCACCACAATTCAAAAGCATCAATTCTTCAGTGGTCAGCCGTCTTTATGGTCCAGCTCTCACTTCCATACATCACTACAGGGAAAATCATAGCTTTGACTATGAGGACCTTTGTCGGCAAGGTGATGTTTCCTCTTTTTAAGAAGCTGTCTAGGTTTGTCATCTCTTTCCTCCCAAGAAGCAGGCGTCTTTTAATTTCGTGGCTGCTGTCACCATCTGCAGTGATCATGGAGGCCAAGAAAGTAAAATCTGTCACTGCCTCCATATCTTTCCCATTAATTTGCCAGGAGGTGATGGGACCAGTGGCCATGATCTTAGTTTTTTTGATGTTGAGCTTCAGGCCATTTCTTGTGCTCTCCACTTTCACCTTCATTAAGAGGTTCTTTAATTCCTCCTCACTTTCTGCCATCAGAGTGGTATCATCTGCATATTGGAGGTTGTTGATATTTCTTCCGGCAATCTTAATTCTGGTTTGGGATTCATCCAGTCCAGCCTTTTGCTTGATGTATTCTGCATACAATTTAAATAAGCAGGAGGACAATATACAGCCTTGTTGTACACCTTTCCCACTTTTGAACCAATCAGTTGTTCCATATCCAGTTCTAACTGTTGCTTCCTGTCCCACGTATAGGTTTCTCAGGAGATAGATAAGGTGGTCAGGTGCTCCCATTTCTTTAAGAACTTGTCGTAGTTTGCTGTGGTCCACCCAGTCAAAGGCTTTTGCATAGTCAATGAAGCAGAAGTAGATGTTTTTCTGGAACTCTCTGGCTTTCTCCATAATCCAGTGCATTTAGTGGTTACCCTACTCCAAATAAGCATTTTCTGTGTTGATCTGTCTGTGTCTCTGTGTATCTGTATATATGTATAAAAGTTGATTTATTTCATATAAAGTTGCAACCTGGAGCCTTAAGCCCTAACCCTAACTCTTGGCCTAACTTCAAGAGCCTTCTGCAACTAAAGGGACTGTTCTCTAGATTCAGAAGAAGAGATAGGAGAGAGTTGAAGGGGGGCAATGGCTAAGGTAGAGAAATTGTGTTAGGAAGAGAGAAGAAAACATTGTGTGCTTCCAGTCTCAGTCACAGTTTCAGCCCTGCCCATCACTGGAATGCACTTACTACATCCCAGACAGATTATCCCTGAGAGAATCTGGCAGACTTTTAATATAACCTATCTCCAATTCTTGCACTTAGGCAGACTGGGATCTACTAATCACAGTCTTTGAGGAAGCAGGTTTCTTCTCCTCAGACTCAGAACTTCCCTCTTAGAATTCAGCTTATTCTGTTCAGGATCAGAAGGTCTTCTTTTCCATCAAGATTTTACTTAAACGTTAGGAAGAACAACCTTCAGAATACGGCCAAAAAGCCCGAAAAACCCACAACAACCAATACTGTAGTTGCTTCCTTCTTGTTTTCTCTATCAGCAAGTTTGCCGTTCTTAACATTACTGTAGCTTACAAAACAGGCCATTTCATATAAATTAACAATGAAAGCCTGGGTTGTCTGTCATATTCTAGGTTTGCTGGCAGCACTAGACTCTTACAGGGATTGACAGCTCCATGTGTCCAGCTAATAGGTGATTTATTATGCCTAAGGCTAAGAAGCACAAACCACTCAGTTGCTCTCACCCTATTGACCTTTTGCACTGAGCCTGAGTGTCCGGTCAGATAACCTGAAGCCTGAACCCTCCTTAAGAGTCTCCAAAATTAATAGACCTCCAGGGGAAAAATTTAGAAACTTGTGTTTGTCATAGCTGGCATTATCCCAAAGAAGGAATTAGATGAAACAATCATTGAAAATCAGATCAAAAGTCTACCTGAGTTTCAAAGTACAGAATAAGCATTTCCTTTTTTCCCCCAATAATTCCAGGTAACATCAGTTAGTATAAATTCTACAAGCTTTATTTATTTACGTTGCTTTTATGTTCTTTATGTACAAAAAGTTGCAAGTTGCTGTAAAAATACAAACGTTTTACAGCTATGAAGAAAACTGTAGGCCCAAATACTTAAATAGAGATATATCCAAAACACAGGAACATTAAAATAAAACTCTTCATTTCATAAAATCAATATTTAGCTAATAACATTTTTGGCTGCAAGACTTAGCAGGCTTTATATGATATGACTCAACTGAACCTGAGCCATACCAATTTATAGAAACCATTGTTAAATCCTTGGTAGATATCATTTTAGAATGCTATATTATTATTATTATTACCAGCAACAGAGCCAGTTAATTCAAATGGGTTTCACTTGTCAGATGGCCAAGAAAATTCATGCTTTTCTTGCATGCAGTGAGCAAGAAATACAGCACCTTCCATTTGTATTGACAAAAATTTGTGTTTTCAGTTATCATTACACAGTGGTGCCTCGCTAGACGATGATAATCCTTTCCACTGAAATTGCTGTTTAGTGAAATCATTGTCTAGCAAAACGCATTTCCCTATTGGAATGCATTGAAACCTGTTTAATGCGCTCCAATGGGGAAGAATAGTCATTGTCTAGCGAAGATTGGCCATAGGAAAGCCGCTTTGCGAACCGCCGATCAGCTGATTAAATAGCTGTCTTGTGAAATTTAGGTCCCGAAAACACCCGTTTTGCGAGCTCGGAGGGAACTGTCAAAATCATTGTCTAGCGAAAATTGGTTTGCGAAGCAGGGACCAATCATTGTCCAGCGAAATTCCCCCATAGGAATCACTGTTTTGCGAATTGCTATAGCGATCGCAAAAAGTCAATTTCTAGCGAAAATCTGTCATGCGGGGTAACTGTCTAGCGAGGCACCACTGCATTGTTATTCTTCCTTTCCACTTAAAAAAAAATCAAAATAAATAACAAAGAAAGGCACCACTGCATTTTTATTCTTCCTTTCCACTTTAAAAAAAAATCAAAATAAATAACAAAGAAGTATGCTGTATAGTTCAGATCACAAGTTCAGTTCTCCCTAAGCCAAGCTGCACAGCCCTAGAGCAACACCAGAAGAAGGGACTGGTAAACTGCTTCTGAGTATTTTATACCAAGGAAATCTGGCATGGATTGCTGTAAACTGGAATCAGCTCCATGGCACATAATTAATTAAAGTAACAAGCATCATTATAACTAAGTAAACCAATAAGGCTGTTAAAATCACCATACTAATCAAAATAGCATTAAAGGCCATATTGAAAATATCTTTACACCCTTCCCAAAAGTGATAAAAGTGAGAACTGATTACAGTTCCAAAGGAAACATATTCATACTCTGAGAACAGTGCAGAAGCAAGTCTTCTGCAAATGGCCAGTAAAGTGGGCATCTTTGAGTAATGGTTGCCTCAACAGGCCCTCCTGAAGATCCTAGCAACCAAACAGGATAATGATGAGGCAGGTGGTTCCTTAGATGAATACCAACTTTCAGAATTTAAGTCTTCAATTTGTTTGTGTGGGCCCCTTCTGATGTTACTTTTAATGAGCTGGAAGCTTCTCCCACACTCTGTGCGTAGAAATAGCAGTTCTGTCCAGTGGGATCTCACAGTTCCAGTTCTGCTGAGAAGCATTGGAATAAGTGGCATTGCCAAAAACAGGAATCCGAAGGCCAAAGTACCAACCAAATTAAGAGGTAGAAAAAGAATAGAGACAAGGAATTATATCTGTTTGTACGCAAATTTTTGACCATCAAGTTGTTTTCCACTTTGAACATGTGTGTTGTAAATTCCTCAGAAAAGAACAAGAACAAACTTTTCATCCAGTTTTACTAGCTATGTTCAATATGAATAAGTATTCTCAACTTCGGACCGAAACATATTGAACCTCGTGTTATATATGTGGTAAATAATTTTCTTAGGAGGGGAAAAAAAGAGAGAGAGAGAGAGCAGTCAACTCTTATTTAGCACTAATATTTTGAGTTTGCATTCATTCCAATCCAGACTTCATTCCATTCTGAATATGGACATTTGTGAATTTGGAATATGCTTTTTTAAAGTTCTTGAATGAAATTCTGCTTCGCTCCTACACACAATTCATTATTGCACTGGGAATTCGTTTGATTTTGAATACTTGTACTGTGTGTAATAGTGTTTATGTAGCCAAATCAGCACACCACATCAGGGGAAAGTATCAGCAGATCTGTAGATGTACAAAAAGGCTTGTGGAGGAATGGGAACTCTAAGGTGAAAGTAGCCGCAGTATATTTCCAGTAGGGGCCTAGTATTCTCAGTGACCATGCCCTGCTGGCTTGGGTACTGAGGATGGTAGATCCAGAAAACGATTGAAGGAGTGAGGAGAGATGTCATGGAGTAGGAGGAATCTTGAAGGAAAGCATGCAATACTGCAATGTTTTGTTATAGGTCTGACTTGATTGTTGTCCTATACAAAATGTACTTCATATAGTTGTATACCTGCCATTTTTTTCAGGTTCCACAAAAGATCTAATTGAGACATGTTGTGCTGCTGGACAACAGTGGGCTATTGACAACAATGAATGTACAGAAATCCCTATAAGTGGAATGGATGGTGATATTTGCAGGTATGTACACAAAAACTGAAGAAGCTTCTGATTCACATCAGACAAACACTTCATGATCTGACTGAAGCCTGTGTCAGGTAACACTCTCTTTTTATTTATATAAAAATTGAAAGCAAAGTTTTTTTAAGCTGTTCCATTCAGCTACAGAACATTAATACAGTATTTAGGGTTTCTTTTTTATTGCTATTATTGTTGTTCTTTGTTACCAGATTTATTATTTATGTTCAAAGAACGTGAGACAATGCCTTCAAAACTGGTGAAAGAAAAAAAGTCTCCTATTGAGAATCTCTGCTAAATACAAAGATTATCAAAATTTATGTACACAAATGATAAAAATCACTTTGTCAAAGGATTTTACAGAGTTTTTAAAAGAAACAATTGTTTGCATTTAACAGAGATTCTTGGGAGAGGACTTATTTTTCTGCTAGCATAAATGAGCAAGACCATATAGTTGGTGAAAACTGGACATGCAATGTTCTTTCTTCCACTCATGACCACCTGGATCTTGGCCTTTTCAAAGAATATTTACTACCATATACTCTGATTGCAATCATCATGGTTGCTTGTGAAGAAATATAATGTATGGGAAAATCAAAATTCTTGGTCCAATGTGCAGAACTATTGTAGTTAAGGGGGCAGGGAAGAGACTAATTTGTCAGGCCCGGGATGGGCAAAGTCTGGCAGAAACTGGGAATAATGACAGTACAAATGTACTGTAAAGTGAACGCGCCCTTTAAGAATTCAGCTTTTGAATCAATGGGCCTTTATTCTCATTTTATGTGTATAGTCGTTTTATGTGCAGACTGAACTCCTGCTCATGAGATTATATTTGTTTCATTGCAGGTTTTTGTAAAGAACATAACTAAACTAGAATTTAGATTAGTTGGAGTTCAGGGTAATGGGGAATATGTGCACGTTGTGATCAAAGCACAAACTGTGGTACCTACAGAGGACATAATTCCAATTGTTAGTCCCAGCTGGAGTAGACAGTGAATGACTGTGTCTTGTTAAGTTCACATTTATGTCTATCCCATTGATTCAGGTAGTTGGGGACTAACACTTAGATTTATGGCCAGCTATAAAACTCCGAAGTTGTGTATAACACACTGTCACATTCTGCTTTCTATGGTGGATTTGCTGTTTCTGCTGCTCCTGCTCTGGGTATAGGCTGAACACAGATTCAAAACAGATTCAAAGTACTGTGAGAATGATTGGACCTGCTTTTGCTGTAGATGAAGCAGTGACGCTGGCTGGAACAGTCATTCTTAATTGGGGGGGGGGTGGCTTTCAGATTTGATGGAGGCCACAGATTGGAAACAATTCTTCATACACCACCTTATAAGGTTTATTATGTGACTTATGCAATTCTGATTTGGTCTGCACTTCTTTAATATTGTGTTTTTGGCCATGGCCAAAGAAAGGGTGGGAATGGCTGGGCGAGAACATATTCAGTGGTTTGGGTTCAGATACTGACCCATTTATTTCACTGGAGTATTTAATGTGTCCAGCAATGACCTTTTTCAAAGTGCATAAATGCAGAATTTAGAAAAGTTACTATTTTCACTGTAACACACAATTCTCCAAGTCACTGTGGATGGCTGTGCCAGACAGGGGATTCTGGAAGTTGTTGTCAAAAAAAAAAAAGTAACCTTCCCAGGCTCTACTCTAAATAGTTTCTGAAATAACGGTGTCTGCCCATTCCCTTTGAAAGCAACATGTGTTTCATTTGTTGTAGAATTGCTCAGAAGCAGTGTTGTGTCTCGTATTTAAAGGAGAACAGCTGCATTGGTGGCATGATTGCAGCCAGAGAAGGTGACTTGTGTGGACCGGATGAAAGTGATGCCTGTGGAGGATCATTTTATAAGGCAAGTTAATACTCCTGCATAACTTTATTGCACCAATGTTAATATAAACCAGCTTGAGTGTTGGCAATTTTAAATATTTGCCTTGCATGGTCTGTTTTTTGCTTAATTGCAAGACATCAGATGAGAATGTGAAAATTTCAATGAGCTCAGCATTTTGGCTGCACACATTAATTTCTTGGCATGAACAAGATGCATAATCTCTAATTTCAGAGCTTGCATGCAATTCAGGTCTTTTTTAAAAAAATCTAGTTGATAAGAATTTCATTAGTGCCTTGGCTATAAGGTCTATGTTCAGCATAATTCCTCCCTCCCAACATTATTATAGATAATCAGGGAAGTTGATTGCTATATGGTTTTCCCCCCTTCTTGCTTAGATAAATTTATTGGATTGAAACTGATATGAGCAGCTATTCCAACTTGACATTGAAGAACAAATGTTTCTTTGACTACAGAAACCTTGGCTAGAATCCTGTTGGCTTAGGTGATTGTGTTAAGGACAATTACACAAGCGATGTGAACTGTTTTCCTGGCTGTTGGGTGGGAGGTGCATCTTTCTCTGTCTTTGCAACTGTCTGCTCAGCCAGGCTTAAATATGCAGAAAGCACTTTTGTGAATGCTCTTTACATGCATGGAAAATGTCATCCAGAGTTTGATGCTTATCTCAGATGTTAAGATACTATCGATGTTGTATTTTGGGGGGGGGGATATATTTGTTTGATAAATATCTGCACAGCTTCTTTCATCTCAGTGAAATAACTTTTATAAAAATTCAAGATCTGGCTTCTTGGTTATTTTTATCCTTGCTTTCAGATTGGCTGGAATCCTATTGGTATTCATGTAACGTGCCTTATTATGACTAAATGACAAAACGCCAGGGTGCATTTCAGTTGCAACCAAGGCTTACTCCCATAAAGCATCTTTTAAGAAAATATTTCAGAGGAGGAGGGTTCAGCTCACGACCATGGGTGTGGCCCTCCAAGGCCCATGGATGAACATATGCAGCTGCTGGATCCCTGGAGATAGCCTGCCCCTTGTTTAATACAAGGCGAAAACATACATAGGATATAAGATTTGTACATTTGTACATTGGCCTGTGGCCTATGTTGCTGAGATAATTACCATGGGCTAATACATAGTTAAACACATAGTCCTGCACAGCAGCAAATGAACTCTTTCTCCTTAAGTCTCCTACCATTATTAATACTCCCCATCCTGAGGAGAGCCTATCCAGGTCAATGCTTGACTTTCTTCATCAGAGAAAGGCATTGTGAAAGAAATGTCAGAGAGGCCATTTGTACTCTGCCTTACTCTGTGGAAGTCCAGTACGTGATGATATGGTGGGTCTCCAGAGCACTGTCAAGTGATGGCAGAAGAGTCGCCTAGTAGGGGAATATCCTGCTAGCCCTTATCCTGCAAGTATGCCGGTCTCTTGAACGACAACCCACACTGTTAGAGCCTTCTAAAATTATTTGTCCTTGACAAAATTCATGGTGCTGTAATGCAGGAGTCATTGTATTCATTGTATGACCACTTCTCATTGCTTTTATTAAAATAAGATAGAGAGGAAGAAAGAAAATAGTAGATTCCTTTTGTTGAGCCAATTACTATGGTTTAAAAAAACAGGCAGTCTCAGAGACCAGTCTTAGGTATTCCATAAAAATTTAAAGCACAAATGAATGCGAGTTTGAAAGCATTCAATACTCAATGACTTTTTTAAACTCACCTTTTAATATCTGATTTATATCCCAAAGCTGCTGCTATCAAAAAAGTCCCTGAAAGAGAGCTACAACTAATGTAACATTAGACAAAGAAAAGTATGAAAGAGGGAAACAAGCAGTCTTTTGCATTACAAAGAAACACAACAATACTGCAGAACGTTTCTTTATGATTCTGCCTATTAAAGATTCAAGTGTGGTCCAAAATGTCTCCCTAGGATGGAAACAAACATGCATTTATTTATGTATATGTGTGTCTGGTTGATGCTTTTCAACCACAAGGGTTTCAAAGCAGGATGAAATAAAACAAAACAGCAGATATTGCAAAGCATCATAAAAACAGTTCATAAAAATATACCAGTACAAGTACTTTAACAATATCCCATCCCTTTAAAAACAAGAAGCAAACAAACTCACATCCCAGAAGGCCCAGTAGAATAAAACTTTAAAAAAACATAATGGTATGTGTAGTGAATATCTCCTACACTGTTTCTGGTAGTTATTAATTTTGTCTCAGACAATAGCTTGGTAGAGCCTGATAGTGCTGTACAGACAACATTACTCCAGGAAAAAAATGATTTGTTGGGATATGTATATATTATATAGGAAAAGTTAATAACCTCTCTACAAAAGGCTTTAAAGTTAGGACCAATACGTAGCACGTAGGCTGGAGTTAAAATGAAAACAAGGGCACTGTTCAGGTTAGGAGACCTCGCTTTTCATTCTATTTCCCCTTTCATGACAACAAAATCAAAATAAGGGTTTCAGCACTTAGGACAACTCAACTGCAGGCATGATGTGGCCTGAAGAGATGATACTTGAGTGTAACTTCAAAAGCAATGTAGATGAACCCATTTCCCCTTCCACAATAGGATTTCCTCAGAGACATCTCCCATGGCAATTAAACTGTGTTTATCTATGAGTCACCGATCACAAAATGACACATTCCAAATGCAAGATACATAGGTGATGAAAATCTAATGCTATGGCAAGCAACGTCTTTCACCTCTTGAAGTATCATCTCTTATGAACTGGTGCTAAGCGTATGTCTAGGTTTAACCCTGGAGTTGAGGAGAGACTGACATGGCTATGCCTGATTCTGACTGATTGCTGTGCCAGCCTGTGATATTGGAGATATTTGAGCATACATTCCCATAACCCTTGCTCTTTTGCATTTCGTCAGGAAAATTAAATGAAAATCATGAAAAGACATCCTCTTTCAGTTTTCATTAGCCGTATATTATGTATTTTGCCAAAGGGTCTTGGAGTTAGGGGACACTTCTTATTAGTCATGTTTTTGTTTGTTGGAAGATTACGTGCAGTTTTTTGCGTTTTTGTGGTTTGACTTAATCTGAAAATGGAATCATAAAATGGATGCCTTGGGGCTCACTATAATTACCTGCTGAGGTAAATTAATTTTCTCAGTAAGATACAACAGGTCTATTACACTTCAATTGTCAGATTCCACACAACTTTCAAAATAGCTCCGGGCTGTTCTAACATTTGCGAGCAGGGATAGGTCAGCTGTCATCTTAAGTGAACACAAATCTTGCCACCACCTACAAGGAACCACTTTTGTGGGGTACCGTACGTTATTCTGAAGTGTTTCTATTGAAAACAGGGCTTATAGAATAATGTTCCTCATAAAGTTTCATTGTTGCCCTGTCACTTCAGCTGTTGACTCTTGTACAGAATCCTTCTAATGCAGCTGTACTAAAAAGCTCATTCACTTGTGCACCTCCTTCCCGACTCTGTCCCCCACCCACCCCCTTACATGTGAGACCCGGAAAATAAATCAGGAACTATACGTAAATTTCTCTATGAATAGGTTCCACTCCAGGGGCTGATGAAAATGCACAGCCTACTGTTGGAACTACTTCTGTCTGTGCCTTTGACATGGAGCAATCTTGCCTCCCTACTATAGCTCCCCAGGCAACCCAAAAACTGATTTGGGGATTAAAGAAACCCTTCAGAGCTGGTTTTCAGGCAGTGCTAAAAATGAAGTTCTGCATCATTGGTGTTTCCACGCTGGTGTAATGTTAGGATTTAGGCCTATAAGATGGATCAGCAAAGTGTAGTCATGCTATCTTGGGATGGTGGGAGTTGAAGCTTATCACATACAGAGGGTATCAAGTTGTGGAAGGTTTGATGGTTGTTGTGGGTTTTTTTGGGCTCTTTGGCCATGTTCTGAAGGTTGTTCTTCATAACGTTTCGCCAGTCTCTGTGGCCGGCATCTTCAGAGGACAGCACTCTGTGCTCATT